TGTGTTTCGTTGTGAAAGCGAAAATACTTTGTTCGGTCTTCCAAAGGAGGACACGACTAGAAATCAGTGGTTAAGTTGTATTTACAACACTGTTCCAGAATAGTTCAACCCAAATATTCAGATGTGTGACATTTTATGGAGGACTGTTTCCTGATCCTGGTAGAGTAGACTACAATGCCGTCTGTTCTGACTCACAGACTGTAAGTATGTTTTTTTATATTTTAAGGATTTGCCACTGATGATTCAAACGCGAGTTTTGAGCAGTGTAGAGTAGCGCTTGTTGTTTGTCATTTCTCCGATCACAAATGCAGACATGGTTTTATGTTTACGCCGCTCGATGCAATGCAACGCGTAAACAGACAGTATAAGTCATTATAATCCGTATTTATGTCCCCACTGGATGCAACAAATGCCTTGTTTATAATGGGTTTTAATGTTTTTGTCTCGTCGCTCCGGCCTGACAGGGCATCATCACAATATGGTAAGGGGTGTAACATTTCCGTCTCACGCTTGAGGTGTTCGGCCAATCAGAACGCTCTGGATAGCTGGCCAATCAGAGCACACCTCGCTTTTCAGACCGATGAGCTTTGTAAAAATCGACGCGTTTCAGAAAGGCAGGGCATAGAGGAGAAACAATAATGTACAGTATGTGGAAAATAATGTGTTTTTTGAACCTTAAACCACATAAACACATTTCATTACACCAAATACACAAAATAATGTTATTTTTTAGCAACGTCATATGACCCCTTTAAAGGAAGCTTTTTACATAAAATAATCTTTTTAAAAGAAATACAATCAAACAGGGCTTTAGTTGGATTATAGCAAACAGGAATAATGCGCGCGCTTTATTTGATGACATGTGGACTGTTCAACAGAAACACCTGCTGACTGCAATGACAGAACTTGGAATAGCCAGGACAATTTTTAATATAACTCCGACTGGATTCGTCTGAAAGAAGAAAGTCATATACACCTAGGATGCTTCGAGGGTAAGTAAAACACAGTCTAATTTTCATTCTTGGGTGAACTAACCCTTTAAGGGTTAATAATAATACTGAAATAAAATAAATTATATAATAGATGAAAACTTAAGTTGAAGTACTAAAATTGACTAAGACTGAAATAAAAACTAAAGCTAAATAGTAAAAATATATAAAAAATATTTTAAAATGACTAAAACCTAAACTTCTGAAAAATAAATTTGATTTGATTCAACATATGAATAAAAACTATAATAGTAAATAAACAATACTAAAACACTGTAGCCAGACAGACAACTTTGACAATTACAATGTGTCTAACTTTTTTTTTGCATCAGTGTCACATTGTCAAGATGAAGTTAAAAACAATGAAACTTTTCGTTTCGTGAAACACTGTTCCACTGTGCTGTGCCATGTGTAAACAAAGTGTGAACAGAAATGCAAATGAATGACACTTACCATTGCAATGTGTCTTACTTTTTTGCATCAGTGCCACAATAAGATTGTAAAGATGAACTCAAAAACAACTAAAAATAAATGAAAGCTAAATAGAAATATTTTTAAAAATCACAAATTTCTAACAAAATTTCTAAAATTTAAACTACTCAAAAACATTTGTTTTGATTCAAAATATGAATAAATACTAGTATATAAACAATACTAAAACACTGGCCCAGCCAGCCACGACTACGTTTTTTTTTTAGTGCCACATTGTTAAGATTGTCAAGATATAGTTAAAAGCAATTCATTTTTTATTTCTTGAGACATTTTGTTCTACAGTGCTGAAAGCACGGTGTGATTAGAAATATGAAACTTTGAAAAATCAATTAAATCTTAATTTCATTAAGATTAAGTCCTGACACCCGGTTACATTAACAGGCAAATGAATGGTGATTATCAGAGAACCGGTAATGCCATAATGATAATTTGCTAGTATAGTGCAGTAAACATGCTTTTTCATACTCCAGATGTGGTCATGGAGAGCACCATATGGAACTGAAGCTGCCTGGGTGGATGATGCTGAGCTTCTGCAGAGGGGAGTTAATGGAGGAAGAGCCCAGGTCTCCAGAGAGAAACTCTTTCTCTCCGTCTAACTACTGCCTCTGGGGACAGATCTCACTCCATACCTCTATTCCTTTCTTTCTCTTATCTCTCCTTTTCTAGAATAGATATTCTCTTTATCTCCATCTCACTGGACTCTTCAAAAACCTCTCTATTTATCCTTTCTTTCTGCAGCAATCTCACTATCAGTCTAACCTTTTTCTGTACTTTTCAATGTCACAAACATGACACACACACACATGTCTGGTCAGCTATCCTTGTGGGGACTCTCCAT